CCGTCAGGCCTCTAGTTACACTTGTAGCCGAAGTTCTGTGCTGATGTGCTTCACCTGTCACGCAGCTGTGAAAGAGGAGTTCTGCCAGGAAAAAAGGTGGTGAATCTAGACTAAACTTGATTCAAAGGAAGTCAGCTGAATAAGGCTAAGTATAAATCAGACAGGGATGTGGGCAAAACTTTCTCAATTATAGAACAGATCTCCACAGACAGCAAAGAAGGGAACCATTCCACTCCCTTCCCACTGTAGTCTTCCAGTTTATGTAGCTGTTACTCGACATGGGTCCTGTGACCACAGGAATACATTTCCCTGGAGTCAGAAAGGACTGCTGTGGGGGTGAAATCTCTTGACCTATGCCTTGTCCCTTGGTATGAACTTTTAAAGTGGACCATAGGTACATAGACAGGAGTTTGGACCATAGAAATGGAATGCATAAGACTTATTATCCAGTGCAACTATCAGTAGGGAAGAAATTAACCCTGTTACAATGGGTGTTGCTAACTCTCAAGAGCTGGCTGGCTAACACTAAGGTGGTAGCTACTGTTTTTGTCTTCACACTCAGGTCCTTTTCATACGGACTTTTTAACCTGTTCTGGCTTCTGAAGGCAAATGGATTTCTTTTAAGGTTTCACACACCTCAAGGATAAAATGGAGCAGCAGCAGCAGCAGCAAAAAAAAAAGTCAGATTTTGGAAAACCCAGATGAAAGCCTCATTATCTATGGGAGGATGGCATTTAATCCACATTACCCTTAGTAGCATCTTGGCCTCACTCTTCCTCTGTGCTCAATAAAACAGATGGATTCTGTATACCTTTGCTTATATGGTAAAATACATTTCTGTCCCATGAACAGTTTTGGAGAAAAATATGCCCAAGAATCCACAAGCTGGTCCTGGCTACTAGCCATAGTGATTAATGGGCACTTCCACATTCAGAGGCAATAAATCTCTGAATAGTAGTGCTAGTAGGTAACATCAGGAGAAAACCCTGGCTTCTGTACTCTGTATAGAGAGACAATGTAGAGTAGTGGTTAAGAGCAGCATACTCTAATCTGGAGAATTGAGTTTGATTACCCACTCCTCCACATGAAGCCTGCTGGGTGACCTTGGGTCAGAACTCCTTAAGCTGGAGAAAAATGGGGTATAAAAACCTCCTCCTCAGCAGCTAGTGGGCTGCTGTGTGAAACAGGTTGCTGGACTAGATGGACCACTGGTCTAATCCAGCAGGGTTGCTGTTATGTCCTTACTTTAGAAAGATGTCACAATTATTTATTTCCTTAAAGCACTCTATCACATAAAAAACACATATCACACAATATAAATATTTAAATATTTTTAAAACAGGCTAGTGGCAATTACAAGTAATATTAAGCAAGAAGTAGATTGAACAGAGGAGCTGCGGTGGCTCAAGTGGTTAAGACGCTGAACTGCAGGCTGTGAAAGGTCAGTAGTTCAGCAGTTCGAGACCTGGGTGCCACATGACGGAGTGAGCTCCCGTCTCTAGTTCCAGCTCCTGCCAACCTAGCAGTTCGAAAGCAAGAAATTGCAAGTAGATAAATAGGTACCACTTCGCTGGGAAGGTAACAGCGTTCCGTGCACCTTGGTGTTTAGTCATGCCGGCCACATGACCACGGAAACGTCTTCAGACAGCGCTGGCTCTTCGGCTTTGAAACGGAGATGAGCACCGCAACCCTAGAGTCGGATGCGACTGGCTTTCGAGCAAGGGAACCTTTACCTTTACTTTAGATTGAACAGATCCCAGCAAAGTATAGTGCAGAACAATGTCTAAAAATTGGTTACAGTCCTCCTAAAAATACCATCTGAATAGTACTGGTGAATTTCTGGCAGTTTATACTTAGGGGCAACTACCAAAAAGGCCATTCTACCAGTAATGAGTAATCTCTCACCTGAGAGTGTATCATCTGCAGAAATAATTCCCTCCTGAGGAGGTGTACATGGGAGCAGATACTTCCTTAGGTATGTTTAGTATTTATTAAGTATGTTTTTATTTCCAGTAGCTTGAAATTTTGACTGTTTTCTGTCACCACAATAGTTAATGAGAATTCAAAATATTTTACACCAATTGAACTTATGGTGTTTTCTCCACTGGTATGTATTTTGTCAGCTGGACTGTCAGCTTCTCATGTTAACATTCTTTGCAAATGAAAATTACACGGAGTTGCATCAGCTGTGTTGAAATTAGAAAAAAGACAAGTCCCTCGTACTTCTTTGTTAGCAGCTGTGATTGTAGCTGTTTTCTTGCCATTGAAAGGAATCCCTGGGCTCTCTCCAGGTTAACAGAAAGAGGCATGATTATGCAACAGACTCATGATGTATGACTATCCTTTGTCCTAATTTAGGTCAGTGGGATTTGTCTGTATATTCTTGTTCTTTGAAAACCTCATCCAGAGTGTTGAAAGCATTTTGTTTTGGAATGAGAAATCAACATTCTCATAATCTACATCCTTGTGAAAAATCCAGTCTGTGTGAAAAATTCAGTCTATGTGACTCATTCAGAGGCTCAGAACTGGAATTGCTGTGGAAAAGGTGGCAGAGCGGATGTGATGTGTGGCTAGCATGCTGGACTAGGATTGGGGGGGGGGGGCTAGATTCAGGACTTAGTCCTGAAGCTCACCTTGGGACCACTGCTTGGGTTTTTGTAAGAATGAACGGAGAGAGTAGGGGGGGAAATGGCTGGGAGGATCCTGTAAGGCTGTTCTGTCAGCACAACATCAGCTCCTCTGACAAAACTTTTGTGGACAACGGGAGGGTATTTTTTTGCCAGTTCCCCACTCCTGCTGCAGCTTCCCAGTTTGTCCCCACACTGTTCTTTTGGATTTGCTGACCTAAAGGAACAAAGGGAGGTATGCAAAGAAGGCTGCAGTGAGTAGTGGGGTGGGGAATTTGCTTTCCTGTAGTGCGACTCTGCTTGTTGGATCGAAGCCAATGTGTGCCTTCTTGGGCTTCTTACAGGATAGGTGAGATGAATAACTAGGTAGAGTGTTAGACTCTGAAAGGTATAAAAATGCACTATTTTCCCAAGAAGCTAGACCCATACTTCTTTTATAGATTTAAACTGGTTAAAAACCTGATGACTGTATGTGTGGTTACTGTTTGAAACAGTAAAGAGGAACATACTTTGAGCATGTGATCATTCTTTGCAGAATCACTGGTTGTATGTTCTAAAGGGGAAGCCTTTCATGTTTTTTTTCTCCCATGGGTTTCTTACAAAGGGACAACGATGGGGGTAAGCATTAGTTCCTCACACATTTCTGAATGCCTTCTGAATGCAGGTCAGAAATAATTGTGCTGTGTGAGTATTTCTATCAGATTGCTTGGAAAAGCCAGAAATGAGAAAATTCAGAGCTTAAGAGAACTTAATAAAAAGCCTGAGGTGATTTCAGGGATATGTGAGGTTGGGAAAGATGTTTAATAAAGGCACTTCCAGAAGACATATTAGCGGTCTGTGTCTTGTTGGCAGTGAATTATAACTGAATGAATATGGTTGATAGAAGCAGCGAGGAATCTTTTTGGGTTACAGAACCCTTGAATGGCACCTCCAAGTCCTAATTTATAAACCAGGGTATGGTTAGTAAGATCAGTTCATCTTGGAAAATCTGCAGCAACAATTTCTGTCTTTTTTGCTGTCCACCCTAATTTAGCCTGAGGCATTTTTGACTTACAGCCAGATTCCAGGACCTTATAGACTAAATCCTTCTATTAGTCTCCATTGTGTCTGCTGTAGGGTGTGTACAAAGATTCTTTCTCTCCCATCAGAAAGTATTGATGCCTCAAGGGAATGCTGTCCTTTTGCACCTGCCCATCTGCAGTTTCTGTACACCATTGTGGTGTGAACTGTAACATGATGCCCTGGAGCTCTCTTGAGGGTTCTGTAATGTTGTTGGCAAGTGTACCGAATCTCACTGTAAACAGCCCTTATTGCAAATGTAACTAGGGCCTAATAACAGACACATGTGCTGGTGCATATTTTTAAATGCCAGACCAGCTTTGTAGGGGTAGGTGGTGTAAGGTTGGGGTTTTTAAACATACTTTTACATACAAATTTTTTTTCACTCTAATTCAGTCGTTGAATTATTTATTTGAAACTTCTGCCAGCTAATGAGTTCCTTGCTATTGTGGGAATCTAGAAAGCAGGAAATTCTTCCCTTTTATAGGTGACTAGAGAAGATTCATTGGGAAAATTCCCTTCTTGAGTATAAGTAAGGCTTGCTCTTTAAAGCTGAATACCTCCTGTATTGCAGAGGTGTTAGACATTTTTCAATATCTGAAGTTTATCTGTGTTAGTTTTTTGCAACCCAAACAAC